CCTAAAAATGCTCAGAACGGTTTAAAATTGGTCGGAAAGTGTTTATATTAGTCCTAGGACCACTCAAACCAAGTTTGGGAATCACTGCATGTCTAGAACCGATGTTACCAATGTTCCATAATGTTCCAATTCGAGTGGTCTTAGGACCAATACAAACACTTTCCGACCAATTTTAAACCGCTCTGAGCAATTCCAAAGAGTTTACGAAAGAGTCATAAGGCCAATCAACAGACTATTCATTTACTGTACTGTTAAGATGGTTCGGTATTCTGCACCCCTCGTATCGGTTCTAGGCATGCAGTGATTCCATAAACAGTCAGACAGTCACACAATGTACACCCTATATTTAGATCACATCAGTTTCATTTGTATCACATCACTTCGTGTAATAGATGTGTGGAAGCAAATAAAGATGTGATCTGAATAAGGTGATCCGAGCGTAGCAAGGTTATCCGATCTTATTTGGTGTGATCGGATGTAGAGGCGTAAGATCAGATCAGGTCATCAGCAATAGGATTAACTTAGCAAGCTTGTTAATGAATAAGAAGAGAATAAATAGATAATTAAGTTATACAAATCATTTTCCCTCTCTGTTAACCACAACAACTACAACGAAAATGAATCCCTTCACTAAATTGATGAGCCTACCTCTTTATCTACCAGTTCAAAGAAGCACCAGCAGTCCACCTCACTCAACCAACCCCTTCACCAGCAATCTTCATCCCTCAACCAACTCATTCACCACCAGCCTACCTAACGCAACCAACCCCTTCACCAGCAACCTACCTCGCTCAACCAACCCTTTCACCCGCAACCTTCATCCCTCAACGAACAAATACATCAATATATTTAATTGGGGGATTATTAATACCAAAATAGTTGCCCAATAAAATAATTTCTGCCTTCTCTTGGAGGTACGTGTGCTAATTGTACATAATTCTGAATGCAACTTTAAGACTCTGTTGGACGAAAATATTGACTCTTTGCCACCATTTTCTTACCATTCTGAGCGCTTTAAGGAAAATTTTCATTTTTGTTCATTTTCGTTCATTCCATGAACCTGGGTAATGTTATTTGACTTTTGATGGCTCTTAGACCTAGTTTTGACCTATATCCATCTTAGAAAACCGAATTGAGGCTTCCCAGCACATAAATACAGCCAATACTTCGATGTGCCCATGTTCCAAAAATCTGGATTCTCAGGAGGATTATTGTGACAAAATTGGAACATTTTGGAACATTGGTAACATCGGTTCTAGACATGCAGTGATTCCCAAACTTGGTTTGAGTGGTCCTAGGACTAATATAAACACTTTCCGACCAATTTTAAACCGTTCTGAGCATTTTTAGGACAATATTCATTTTTGTTCATTTTCGTTCATTCCACGAACCTGGGTAATGTTATTTTAGTTTTGATGGCTCTGAGGCCTAGTTTTTACCTATATCCATCTTAGAAAACCGAATTGAGGCTTCCCAGCACTTAAATACAGCCAATACTTCGATGTGCCCATGTTCCAAAAATCTGGATTCTCAGGAGGATTATTGTGCCAAAATTGGAACATTTTGGAACATTGGTAACATCGGTTCTAGACATGCAGTGATTCCCAAACTTGGTTTGAGTGGTCCTAGGACTAATATAAACACTTTCCGACCAATTTTAAACCGTTCTGAGCATTTTTAGGACAATATTCATTTTTGTTCATTTTCGTTCATTCCATGAACCTGGGTAATGTTATTTGAGTTTTGATGGCTCTTAGGCCTAGTTTTTACCTATATCCATCTTAGAAAACCGAATTGAGGCTTCCCAGCACTTAAATACAGCCAATACTTCGATGTGCCCATGTTCCAAAAATCTGGATTCTCAGGAGGATTATTGTGACAAAATTGGAACATTTTGGAACATTGGTAACATCGGTTCTAGACATGCAGTGATTCCCAAACTTGGTTTGAGTGGTCCTAGGACTAATATAAACACTTTCCGACCAATTTTAAACCGTTCTGAGCATTTTTAGGACAATATTCATTTTTGTTCATTTTCGTTCATTCCATGAACCTGGGTAATGTTATTTGAGTTTTGATGGCTCTTAGGCCTAGTTTTTACCTATATCCATCTTAGAAAACCGAATTGAGGCTTCCCAGCACTTAAATACAGCCAATACTTCGATGTGCCCATGTTCCAAAAATCTGGATTCTCAGGAGGATTATTGTGCCAAAATTGGAACATTTTGGAACATTGGTAACATCGGTTCTAGACATGCAGTGATTCCCAAACTTGGTTCGAGTGGTCCTAGGACTAATATAAACACTTTCCGACCAATTTTAAACCGTTCTGAGCATTTTTAGGACAATATTCATTTTTGTTCATTTTCGTTCATTCCATGAACCTGGGTAATGTTGTTTGAGTTTTGATGGCTCTTAGGCCTAGTTTTTACCTATATCCATCTTAGAAAACCGAATTGAGGCTTCCCAGCACTTAAATACAGCCAATACTTCGATGTGCCCATGTTCCAAAAATCTGGATTCTCAGGAGGATTATTGTGCCAAAATTGGAACATTTTGGAACATAGGTAACATCGGTTCTAGACATGCAGTGATTCCCAAACTTGGTTTGAGTGGTCCTAGGACCAATGTAAACACTTTCCGACCCATTTTAAACCATTCTGAGCACTTTGAGAAGAATGTTCATTTTCGTTCATTTCTGGTCATTCCATGGGTAATTTTATACGACTTTTGATGGCTCCTAGGCCTAGCTTACGGCAATATCCATTTTAGAAAACCGAACTGAGCCTTCCCAGCACTCAAATACGGCCAATACTGCGATGTGCCCAAGTTCCAAATTTATGGATTCATCTACTGTCGAAATCTGACCTTGCGTTTTTAAGATATCGCGCGCCAAATATTGAGGTTTACATGTAATTACATGTAAAACTTTAACTTAAACTGTAAAAAGTTAAACATCCCTTAGTTGAGCTGAAACTTGGCACAGTTGTTCCTTGGGCTGTCACCCACAATTCTATTGCACAGAATTTTGATATTTGCCTCTGTTCTCGAGATATGAGGTTAACTTTGCCCCAAATTCGACATTTTTCGAAAAATGGGGTAAAGTTAACCTCATATCTCGAGAACAGAGGCAAATATCAAAATTCTGTGCAATAGAATTGTGGGTGACAGCCCAAGGAACAACTGTGCCAAGTTTCAGCTTCTGGATGTGGCCAGTATTCTCAACTAAGGGACTTTTAACTTTTTACAGTTTAAGTTAAAGTTTTACATGTAATTACATGTAAACCTCAATATTTGGCGCGCGATATCTTAAAAACGCAAGGTCAGATTTCGATCCGGTTTTTTTCTTCTTGTTCGTCTCCAGCAGCTCTGAACAAATATGTGAAAACTGGAAAATCGACTTTTACCCCCCCCCCCCCCCCCTCTGGCCTTAATCATTTCTTGCGGTATCGGCTTGAAATTTTGCTCGATGTCTATTCACATCTATTTCAAGGTGTGTGTAAAATCTTAATATCGTATTTAAAAAGGCTGGTGAGTTATACATTTTTAAAGTCAAAAAAAGTCAAAAAGCTGAAATTGTCCTTTTCAGACTTATTTTAACCAAAAAGTCAGTCAGGGAAAATCGGATTGATTTGATGCTTGACATAAAATTGTTCTCTGAATTCTGGCGCAGTTTTTGATGCCCTCAAAAATGTTTTTACTCATTTATCTTCAGATCTATTTGACTTCAAAGCCAAAAAACAAATTTAGGCACATTTTTCGTTTTTCATATTTACTTATTTTTCTAAACTTTTGATAGGAATGTGCTAGTGAATTTTAGAAGGGCGCAAAATAACCGCAACTAGCACATTTATATATGAGTTATGAACAACAAAACACCCTAAAAGGCTTTCCTTTGAAGTTATGGGAGAAAATGTGATTTTTTATCTGCAAAGCCAAAAAAATTTGACTTTTTTAAACTTTAAAAATTTATAACTCACCAGCCTTTTTAGATACGATATCAAGATTTTACACACACCTTGAAATATATGTGAATAGACGGCGAGCAAAATTTCAACTCGATACCGCAAGAAATTATTAACTTTTAGCCTCTCCATGAAACAAATTGTGTTTTTCCGGAAATTCCACTCTAACCAGGAAATGCTCCATTACAAAAATGGGTATTCTTAAAATAATTTTTTTGATGTGGGAACGGTGCGCTAGAGGGTCACTGAACTGCCTATGAGGTCATTTGGGTTGGACAGGTTTGGTGTATGTCCCCTTAAACATCATGGCTATTTTTTGTGTACGCACTAACAGTGCGCAGTTTTAGGGAATTTCTCAAACTGAGGAGGCCAAACTCCTATCAATGATGAGATCACGTTCCACAGATCAAAGAACCAATGTAAAACGGGGGCCCTCTCCCGACAAAGGTCTAACTAACGTCAGCTGGGAAACAACGAGGATTACCAGAGCAAGCACAAAAGATAACATGTTTTCAGAATGATTAATTTTCTATATTATTTGAGGGGTTGCAACCCAAAAAAACAATAAAACCCGATCTAATTGTCACGATTTTGCTCCAGCGATTGGTTTTATTGTTATTTTATATTTGTTCTCCCTCCGACTCTCCCACTCCCTCAAGCCCAACTCAATTCGAACAACAAATGTTTTACAACATGTTTATGATTATTTTTCTATCAATTCAAATTTCAGCGTTTAATTGTAGTTTAGATAATACAGACGTGTAGAATGTCGTGAACCTCTAGCTCTGATCAAACGTTTCTCATTATTCCATATTGAGATGCCTCTTTATAATCGTGCACCAAACATTGCGCCAACTTACCAATGTTATACGACACCTAATAACGTATAAAATGTACTGCAGTTAATCGTTTTACCACAATATCACCAATAAATCAATCAGAGGGCTCACTATAGGTCACAAGAGTCACGTGACACAGTGCCAGGCAATCAGAATACACCGCAAAAGTCACGTGTTAAAAGTACTAAATTTACAGGTTGAGTCGATGGAGAAGGTAGTAAGACTGCTGGATCTTGAGAAGGAAAGAACGGGCTCCAACATGTACACTTTTGCTAATATGGACGACGACCTGCGTGATCTGGAGGAGCTTGAGATTGAGGAGGTCGGTTCTAAAGTTCTTTGTATCACCTGCAGTATTCTTTCTCTCAATAATACAAAACTCTAAATAATTCACTTTACCTAGTAATCCATTTAAAACATCAAGATAGTGAATGTTCATGTATTGTAGAATGATATGCAGCATCTATCAGCTACTACTCTCACAGTCTATCACTGTTTTATTTTTTTTAAATTAGCTCCGTCCCAGTTAATTACCATAATTATACATATGTATTAATTATATAATTATGTGAATAATATACGCAGATTGACGGACTGTTGTGGTTCAAGACACCAGATTACGACTGCAATCTAGATAACGATGATTCCAACTACAAGGAAATGACGTCTGGTAAGTTCCCCGGTCTAGACTCTAGTCAAACAAGGTTACCATAGCTGGCCCCACTAAATATGTTAACCTTATTTTAAGCACTATATTGTGTGACTCTAATATCACGGGAGTAACAAGGTTACCATAGCTGGCCCCACTAAATATGTTAACCTTATTTTAAGCACTATATTGTGTGACTCTAATATCACGGGAGTAACAAGGTTACCATAGCTGGCCCCACTAAATATGTTAACCTTATTTTAAGCACTATATTGTGTGACTCTAATATCACGGGAGTAACAAGGTTACCATAGCTGGCCCCACTAAATATGTTAACCTTATTTTAAGCACTATATTGTGTGACTCTAATATCACGGGAGTAACAAGGTTACCATAGCTGGCCCCACTAAATATGTTAACCTTATTTTAAGCACTATATTGTGTGACTCTAATATCACGGGAGTAACAAGGTTACCATAGCTGGCCCCACTAAATATGTTAACCTTATTTTAAGCACTATATTGTGTGACTCTAATATCACGGGAGTAACAAGGTTACCATAGCTGGCCCCACTAAATATGTTAACCTTATTTTAAGCACTATATTGTGTGACTCTAATATCACGGGAGTAACAAGGTTACCATAGCTGGCCCCACTAAATATGTTAACCTTATTTTAAGCACTATATTGTGTGACTCTAATATCACGGGAGTAACAAGGTTACCATAGCTGGCCCCACTAAATATGTTAACCTTATTTTAAGCACTATATTGTGTGACTCTAATATCACGGGAGTAACAAGGTTACCATAGCTGGCCCCACTAAATATGTTAACCTTATTTTAAGCACTATATTGTGTGACTCTAATACCACGGGAGTAACAAGGTTACCATAGCTGGCCCCACTAAATATGTTAACCTTATTTTAAGCACTATATTGTGTGACTCTAATATCACGGGAGTAACAAGGTTACCATAGCTGGCCCCACTAAATATGTTAACCTTATTTTAAGCACTATATTGCGTGACTCTAATATCACGGGAGTAACAAGGTTACCATAGCTGGCCCCACTAAATATGTTAACCTTATTTTAAGCACTATATTGTGTGACTCTAATATCACGGGAGTAACAAGGTTACCATAGCTGGCCCCACTAAATATGTTAACCTTATTTTAAGCACTATATTGTGTGACTCTAATACCACGGGAGTAACAAGGTTACCATAGCTGGCCCCACTAAATATGTTAACCTTATTTTAAGCACTATATTGTGTGACTCTAATATCACGGGAGTAACAAGGTTACCATAGCTGGCCCCACTAAATATGTTAACCTTATTTTAAGCACTATATTGTGTGACTCTAATATCACGGGAGTATGATCAGTATTTTCAGAGGCGAACTACTTTAGTCCGTACAACTCGATAGAGAGTATAGAGGATGGACCCAACCAGCTGGACTATGATTCTATCAACAATAACGTTCAGTACGAACTAAAACTCAACATTCCCTCTTCTGAGGTTAGTCTTCTACATTTCTACAGTTTGTTTCTGTGGTTTAGAAAATCTTTTAATCAAATGTGTGTTACTTTCCTGTTCTGGCCTCAGACCCGAGCGTAACATTAATAGTTGATTAGGTCTTAACATATTAGTAGTAAAAATGATAGGTTACTTCTTAGCGTTCATTTTAAAGCCCGGATAATAATGCCAGGTGGATGTTATTGAGTCTATAAAGGAAATAGAGGACTCTGATATTATACTGACTGAAACGATAATAGGACAAGGAAACTTTGCCAGCGTCAAAAAAGGTATGATCATATTAACAGCTACTTTAATATATACTAAGGTGAACTTTCAAATTTCATTTCTGTAAATTCTGAGGAAAATCAATACAGCTATTGTGTAATGTGTAATGTGTACCCTACATTTAAGCTGTACTCCACCAGGTATCCTAAGAACTGACGAGGGCACTGAAGTAGCAGTGAAGATGTACCACCCTGATATAAAAGCTATCGATATACAGAAAGAGATCGATGCCATGACTCAACTTAAACATGATTACATAATTCCTCTTAAAGGTTTGTTCTGTGTTTTTTTCTCTTTCACGCGCTGTTTTCTTGCAAACGTGCTTTAGTTAGCCCTGCACGTGCGTTTTATAGTCAACAATGTGTGTTGACTGATGTTTAACCAGATACAAGTGGGACAATCCGTTCGACTTGACATACCATGTTTTACACTACTTAACTTCATTTTACACTACTTAACTTCATTAAACTCATTGAGCGCTGTCTATGATTTTGCCTGCAAATTCCACATCATCAGATATTGAAAAATCCGATAATATGATTTGCCCTCTCAGGCTATTGAATTGACATTGCAGAGGCTTACCAATGTACATTGTACATTGTACATTGTACATTGTACCCATGTGATGGCCTTGTTAGGTACGTGATTACTCAAGCTTACTTTAACAGGTGTTTACAGAAGGGACGGTACTGCTTGGCTTATCATGAACTTCTACAAGTTTGGTTCACTTGATAAGTACATCGAACAAAACTCGGACATACCCGTGAGTAAAACTACCAGTTCTTACTATAGCAAGAGGGCGTTGTAAGGATGGAAATAGTTTAGTCGTTGATCTTCATAGAGATCGTACTGGAGGTTTATCTTTTGGTTATTATATGGTAAAATATCTCTTGCTTTGACAGTGGATATGGCGACATTCCAAAGCTGAATTTCTGCTCATGACATAACATTACATTATACTTCTATCAAATGTAAGGATAGTTAATTATGATTCCGGACAGACTCACAGTGATAATACCTGGTCCTCCTACTCAACCCTGCGGTTTACAGGTGGAGCGGTTGTGTCTGTTTGCAAGTCAGATAGCGGAGGGGATGAAGTTCCTCTCTAACGAGAACTACATACACAGGGACCTGTCTACTAGGAATGTACTGGTACAGAACCAGTACAAAGTTAGGATATCTGACCTCGGTCTTTCTAGGGTGGGTGTGTGTTCAAACTTATGTATAGTTAACGTGTATTATGTATATAGTACAGGAAGAAGAGATGATTGACGGCCTTATAAATTCCTTAAATTCCTAATGATATCTCCAAAAGAAGGTCTCATTTTACCATCTTTATTAATTTGCTTTATCTAATATATGTGATTTAATAATTGCGTAGTTAAGGATATAAAACGGAGCTGCATCTCAGAGTGTAGAAAAGCAGTACTACAAGCACAAGACAGGAGTTATACCCTACCTCTGGTACCCACCAGAGTTCTTTGAGACTCACACTTACGGAAAATCTCTAGATGTCTGGTCCTATGGTATCACGTGTTGTGAAATTTTCAACAACGCTGAGGTGACTTTTTAATTTGTTTGATAGTGAGATTGTTTGTGATATGGCTCATATTTCCGTATTCTTAAATTTAATCAGTATCAAACTTTAACTTTTAAAACTGATTTGAATTTTTTAAAAGTACACGCATTGTACTTTAAAGTATGAGTGTTGTATACAGAATAACTAAATCAGCTGTAATCTATATCGGTCTCCGTGTCCCCTGAAAATGCATTTTATTTCCAGGTACCGTATTTACAATGTGAGCCTCCGATCAGAGACATTAAGATGTTAAAAGACTTCTTCGACAGTGGAAGGCGCTTAGCCATTCCGAACAAAGCTCCAGAAATGTTCAGAATCATAATTACCGTATGTTAATTTTCTTATTGTCATTAATTGCATTTATTTAGAAAATTCAGTACACTTCTATATGAGAAGTGATAACTTCTCGTTTTCTATCAAACTTTACTGATCAGTGATCAGTGAAATGTTTTTTTCTTCAGAATTGCTGGAAAGATAAAGCCGACCGGTGGACCTTCAATGATATTGTCCAGTTTATATGTGAGAGGAGCGCACCAAGATAAAGACTGCCTAGTTCCTCGACAATATTTCTTTTAAACTTCTTATGACCGCTCTGAGCGATGTCTTTTAACAGACGTTTATGTGGACAAGAAGATATCAAACACGTTCCGCAGAATTCCATGACAATTCTGGGAATTGAAGCACATTATTAACTACGAATACGCAAGGCGCGGCGCAAAAGATATGAATAAAAGAAAATGACCAATCAACGACTACGCTCGATCACGTGATCTGATCTGAGCGCGCGCAATTGTTTGGTGTGTACGGCCGCGGTTGCTGCATGGATTCTCGATTCTATCAGATCAGACTATCAAGTATCAAAGTATCATTTTAAAATTATCTCAGATTTAAGTTTGAACTTGATACTAAAATGACTACATACTTTCAAGCCTCTGTTTCAGGCCTTTGATGGATGAGATTCTTAAACTATTCTTTCCTTGGAATGCAATTCTAAAGTCGAGAAAATAGCCTGGTTAATGGGCAAGGATTTCTCATTTCGTCAACTTATTCATTGTAATTGTTATTTCTGTACCGATTAACCAAACAAAAAATGCAGCCGCTTTAATTATTTTGTGGATGGCCGCTCAATTTCCCGATCTTTGATGGCGTATTTTATCATATTCAATATTCCATACAAGTTACAACCTGGGGACCCCAGTACAGTCTCTACTGTTAATAAGCATGCAGATATGGTGGAGTGACATGCCGAGCGCCGCCCAGTTAATATAATTATAATTCTACAGGGTGGGCCAAAAGTCATAAGTCATTGGGCATACGTTGGTCTTAATCTAGCTCCGCCGTGTTTTATATTTGAGAGCTGTTGCTTTGCAGATAGCATACTGTACCTTCTGGTTCGAGGATTTTGTCGTCAAAATTTGAAAATTCGAATACTTTAGACCACGCCCATTCATTATTAAAACACCTATACTGTTCTGTCTGAACATGCTGGACGCCTGATTACAAGTTGCATCTGATCAGAAAAATTATGTGTATCTCGTTAGCAAAATCGATTGGGTGATTATGTGACACGACACCTTAATTGAGCAGCCTTAACGATTCTCATAATGTTTAACGGGGTCACCTTATCACGTGATTAGGTAAGCCAATCACCTGATCACACGTAAGGAATAAACTCGTTATGCTTCGTATCTCGGTCATCTGAGAAGCTATAACTCTAATTTGTTCAGGACAAACGTAATTTGAATGTCCAAGCACAATCCAATAAAATTTGGCTCGATCCGACTATCCAAACTATCAAATAAATGCGAAAATGAACCTTCATTTGAAAAAAATGAACTCGAATATTTTTTGATTTGGCAAATTCCCCGAACCAGTGGTGGTAGTAAGTCATACCAGAAAGAATTATTTCAATTGGGCACTCAGTGACTGAGCTATTTGGACCAACGTATGCCCAATAACTTTTGGCCCACCCTGTACCTTAAGAACGACAAATTTAGTCCACCATAAATTTAGTCAAACTTTTGACTAAAATTGTTGTAAACCGAATTTCATGAGACTAAATTTTTCGGCGACTAATTTTAAAGCAGACCAAAATTTCAGTAGAGCAAATATGACATGAATGAGTTTTTCACTTTTGGCAAAGATTTTGTGGTGCCATTACGTTTACTCTAATATGATCAAAGAACGGAATTTCTAGCTTCCAGTTCCACATAAATGAAGATATCACACGCACACTATAAAATTTAACGCTGCACGCAGAACGTTCCTAGTTTGGAATGGTGTTCCCTCTCAGTACAGTGTTTATGTGTTGTTTGCCTTCTTTTTTCCGCTCGTTAGAAGGCTCAATATTTCATTTTTGTAATGTTTGCATCGTTAAATTATTATTGAACAGCTGTATGAGAAAGTTTTACATCGGTATTTGACATAGAACCTAGACTTTAAAACCATAAAACATCCATTAAAACGCTCTAAATCCGCGAGTTAATTGCTCCCGGTAAGAAGTCTCTGTATTTTCCGGCTGGGGATGGGTAGAGATTTCTGATTTGTTTCACTACACATGATGGCAAAACATATCTCCTCCCCTTGCCATAAAACCTTAAAGAGCAAATTTGTAAGAAGGTTGTGTAGGCAGTGTATCGTAAACCCTCGGGCCTATATAATGGTGCCGTCAACGTTTCTCTTGAAATTTTGTAGACTAGTTGCTTGAAGTTTCAAGATATCCTCGTCTTCAATCGTCTTCCTAAAAATATCAACCAGAGTAACGCAGGTTTTCTCTGATTGCCCTATTACTGTGTCAGCAATCAGTGTGCTTTCTCTGCAACAGTAGCTCTCCATTTCCGATTCCATGACGGAGCAGTTTTCGCAAGTGCACTACTCCTTTGGGTATTGCTCCCATCGTTGTTAAATACGTCAAAAAATCGGCTCAAAATACGGCGTATTCAATGTTCGAGAATAAAGTCCTTTCATTTAAGGTCCGTCCAAGTTAAAGTCCGTTGAATTTTTTTCAAACATTTTTTTCACTTCGAACTTTTTGTCCAGAATATGACAACTATCATAACTTTATTGTGCCGTAAGTTAACGACGGAAAGGTTCTCCAATTGGTCTGCTGGAGGCCTTCTAGCGTTCATATTAATGTCCGTTCATAATTATGTCCGTTCATGTAATGTCCGTCCAAATAAGGTCCGATAAGGTATTATATTTATGTTCATAATCATAGATAGAATAGAGATTCGGCGGAATGACAGGCTGCTTTAATGGCCTCCAACTCAGCATGAAAAAATAAGAAATTGGCCAAGGAATAGGAGTTTTAGAGCCCAATATTTGGACCCCCAAGTGGTGTCAAAAACGCGAATTAAATAGGTAAGAATTATTTTAGTCTCTTGAGTCTTCATGACACCATTTTGGGGTTATACGGGTTCCTGCTAGTCTAATTAACTCAGTATAATTACCTAGTGAAAATACATGATAACTGTTACATTGTTACAACACAATAGTTACATCCTTAGTTGTAGTGAACGTACGGAACGTTCACTAAAAATAGTTTGTGAACGCGTTCGCTAAAAGATTTTAACGTTCGGAACATAAGGAACGTTAATTGCTATAATGAAATTAAAATGCCGGACATAGCCCAATTATCCGGCAAAGTACTAGCGTTTCCATTGCCACTTGCCGACAGGATTTGCCACGTTGTAACAGACAATCCAAATGTCAATAAATCTCTACGACGCTTAATCGAAGCTGATTATGAACACATCATACGATCATGCTGTGTAACCCACCAGTTCGATCTACTTGCCGAGGATGTCGGGAAGTTGAGCTGGACCAAGGAGACATTGTCGAATTGTAACAAAATAGTTACAAATGTGAAGAATCACGACATGATTCTAAAAACGTTAAGAACCCATTCTCTTGTCAATTTGCTAAAACCAGGGGAAACTCGGTTTGCCACCCAGTTTATTATGTTAGAGGGACTGAAGGGTTCCAAGGATACTTTGATTAAGACTTATATTGATCCAACCCTTACTGAGTCTGTTAGCAATAAAAGTAATGCATACAAGAATTTGTTTGAGTGCGCTAAAGATTTAGTGTTTGACCCCCATTTCTGGATAGAAGTCGACTATTTATGCTCAATTCTCGAGCCGATAATGGTCTTGCTTAGATTTTCAGACAATACAGGGTGAGTTGAAAATAGTGTGTGGAAAGTAAATGGCTCTACTTTTTTTGACAAATGAAATTTCCAGTTAACTTTTGCATATTTAGGTAATGAAAATATATACTTTTTATGATAATACAATTAAAATACTTAATGATTAATAATTTGCTCAACCCATCGTCCTTTATTAACTAGGACATATTGATAACGTGTAACTGTAAGACAATTGTCTATAGCCGACTTGACTGTATTATGGGGGCAGGGGAGTCTTATGGAAATTTTCTCAAAATCGACTTTTTAGTTAGTTGTTTCTGATAGAGGGGAGTAATATCTATCAGATGCTTTTGATGCCGTGGAAAAATATCGTTCCTAGCCGAAATTATCGCCGGTCAAAGGTCAGCGCGTGTGTGGTAATTGTATTGCGCGAGCGATTTTTGATCGCGTGCCCTGAAAATCGAGTCTAAAAATCCATTTTCTCCTACATTTTTTGAGCAATCACCCTGAAACTTTCAGCATATGTTCTAAGGATCATTTAGAAGAGATGAGCCAGACAGAATTTTGAGATAGGCCTTTAAAAAATTTTATTCGATTTTGAAAATCTTGGACCTCGTTTTTTGATGATTTTTTGATTCTTAAGATTCCTGTTGGTTTCATCGGTGTAATTTATTACAAATATTATCTGTTCACCTTAAAGTTAGCAAATTTTGCTTTCCGCAATAGAAACCATAAGAGTGATATGGTTAGTCTTGCCAACAAAAGGTGGCTCGAGCTCCATTCCCCCTACATTCAGTAGGGTTTTGTGCTCACCCGGCTTATCAGGGATATGATCAGCACACGAATCAGGATGTCTGGAAGGAGTTTCTAGATGTCATGGACACGTGGTGTGACGGCGCAACAAAGAAGAAGATAATTTCGCAGTACACGTTCTACCGAGAAAAAAGAGGCTTATTCTGTACTGACGCTGCCTCAAGTTTTAGCCAAGATTCTGACGATCCAGTCTCTTGGTGGAGCAACTTCGGTTGCGAGGTACCCGAACTACAGAGTTTTGCAATGAAAGCGCTGTCGCAATCGACATCAGCCTCACCCTGTGAGACGAATTGGAGCTTGTACGACTGGGTGATAAACAAAAAAAGAAACCGCCTCACAGTTGACAAGCAGCGAGACCTTATTTATGTTAACGCAAGTTTGCGTCTTATGAACAATTCACGAATTAAGGAGCAATAATTTCATTACTATTTGCTATACTAGTGACTTATTTTTATTCATTATTGTTTATTTACTGTCTAATTCCGACAACATGGTTTTATCTCATTGTACGACTAAGTTCAGCGTTCACTACAACTAAGATCAGAATTAAGCAATAGCTAAGGTTCATGATACAATCTAAATTTTGGGTTGGTTTTTTGCGAACATTTGACTTTATAATGAATTTACGTTTACCTGATATGGTTAGGAGTTGGCTGGTGGCCATGATGGTATCAAAGGATGAGGAAAGATTAGTTGGTGCACAACTTGATGAAAAACGATATTTTCTGGCAACTGATTTATGGGAATTGTCTCTTACTTTTATATTCGTGTGCTGCCAGGTGTTTTATCTTTTAATTTGCTAGCCAGATAAAATTATTGATTGAAATTCCCATTGAGCAGTGAGCACGATTGAAATGATTCAAATTATAATCGTTAAATGCACAATTTTCCTCTGTACTCCTGTAACTCTTTCTTAAAATGAAACAATTGCCGTAATTAAAATCGTTCTACAAAGAGCGGTACGGACCACTTACGTTTCAAATGAATTCAAATTTTTCGTTAAATCACCCTTGTTAAACATCTTTGGCACTATCTTACCGCCCACTTGCACTGGTCGGAAATTTATGGGTTTCGGCTCTCTGGAAAGTATTAAATTTTTATTTAAATAACCCGCAAGGGAGGGTTGCATCTGTCACAATGTAATTACGCCATTAATTGTATAATATTTAGTTTCAAACAACTCCGTCGTAACTTTATTTATTGTAAGCGACTTAGTTTGAAGAAATGGAGTGACCTGTAACAGTGTAACCGGGCGAGGGGTTCTCCCCGAAATCAACCATAAATTTGACTTTGGGTATGTTGAAAACATATTAAAAACACATGCTGTACGACCTCTTATAAAATTTCAACCTCAGGGAGAGTTCATAGTGCACCCTAATGTTAAATATCTCAACTTCAAGGAGAGTTCATAGCGCACCCTAACGTTAAATATTTCAACCTCAGGGAGAGTTCATAATCATAGCGCACCCTAACGTTAAATATCTCAACCTCAAGGAGAGTTCATAGCGCACCCTAACGTAAAATATCTCAACTTCAAGGAGAGTTCATAGCGCACCCTAACGTTAAATATCTCAACCTCAGGGAGAGTTCATAGCGCACCCTAACGTTAAATATCTCAACCTCAAAGAGAGTTCATAGCGCACCCTAACGTTGAATATCTCAACTTCAGGGAGAGTTCATAGCGCACCCTAACGTTAAATATCTCAACCTCAAAGAGAGTTCATAGTGCACCCTAACGTAAAATATCTCAACTTCAAGGAGAGTTCATAGCGCACCCTAACGTTAAATATCTCAACCTCAGGGAGAGTTCATAGCGCACCCTAACGTTAAATATCTCAACCTCAAAGAGAGTTCATAGCGCACCCTAACGTTGAATATCTCAACTTCAGGGAGAGTTCATAGCGCACCCTAACGTTAAATATCTCAACCTCAAAGAGAGTTCATAGCGCACCCTAACGTAAAATATTTCAACTTCAGGGAGAGTTCATAGCGCACCCTAACGTTGACAGCATCACAAAATATTGACTAACGTTCACTAACGTTCACAAACGTTCACTACAAAATGATTGGAACGTACGTTCAGTACGACTAAGTTCAGCGTTCACTACAACTAAGGTTACATCTGTTGTACAATTTGAAATGCAAACAGGTTCAATACTTTATCAGAATTTTCAATCTTGCAGAATGCAGAAGTCATCATGGTGCACTGTCATGTGGCGAAGGTGACTGTACCAAAAACTTCAGTAAGAATAACATCTTATTCTTACTATATATAAAGCGAGACGATATATATGTATATATCCGTGCCATTTTACTGACACCACGGCATCAACTTTAACGCGACCTTCCGCAAAAACCGTAAATGATATAAAACTGAAACTTTTTTGACTGGGTCAAATGATTTTATGCTTTTCAAATCAGCATGAAAAAATAAAAAATTGGCCAAGGAATAGGAGTTTTAGAGCCCAAAATTTGGACCCCCAAGTGGTGTCAAAAACGCGAATTAAATAGGTAAGAATTATTTTAGTCTCTTGAGTCTTGACACCATTTTAGGGTTATACGGGTTCCTGCTAGTGGTTTCTAAATGGCCCGGGAGACGATTCATAAGATTTTATCGAATGCCAGACCCTGAGAAAAAGCATTTATTTCTGAAATGGCGACAGAGAACTACTCACTTATAGGATGACGTAATGCTACCTTGTTCTATGTATCTAAGGGCATGTTTGTATTGCGCTATGTCATATGTAATTGCATCTGTGAAAGTTTGGAATCCCTATCTACTTCCTACGCCACGCTACAGCTTAATTAAGAAAGTGATGCGTCGCGTACAACGTTCCTATGCTCAAAGGGACTGCCCTCTCAGTTCTGTGTAAACACACTATTTAGCAGACGTAATCGTCCAAGTAGTTCGATTTTTATACGGTTTGCTTCGACTTGCGAATTGATTTTTGTTTGATACTTACTATTTATCGAAAGAAACAATTGAAATTGCACGTATTTTTGTATAAATAAGCATGTGTTTTTGTATAAACAAGCATGTTTTGTATAAATAAGCATGTGTGTATAAATAAGCATGTGAGCATACATAAGATACATCAGTCCAGTCCTATGATTTCATTCTCGACTTCCTTTCTCTTATAATGGTAACTTTGTCAGGAAGCGTGGTTCCATGGAAGGTTTTTTTAGGCACTTCTTTTTTGACATAATATGTTATCGAGTTTGGGAAAAGTCACATTTTACCAATATTGTCCCTGACTTCATCTTTTTAATGATTTCTTCTGTCATTGCTTTCTTGAAGCTGATATTGCCGTAGTAGTTCTTTTGTTTGATAACCTAACCTTTCATGGCTCTGGAGTATGATCTCCCTGTGTATGACTTCAAGCGGTTTCCTCCTTCAAGTACAGGTTGTTTTGCACAGCAGCGAGCATCGTCATAACTAACATGGTGTCTAGTTCGAAGGCCGACACTGTCGCACTACCTGTACTGCAGTGCAAACACGAACTAAAGTGCGACAAAAAACTTTACATATTCAATAAAAATTTGACATTGCAATACAGTGTTTACAATGTCGATTGTCGGCGAGGAAGTGGTTGTCTGAGAATCTTCTGGTTGATCTTCCACTGGGTTAGATCCTGCTCCTTTTTCAGGACGTCGATAAATCCCCAGATAGTAGGGTTGGTGCAGCCCATCACGGATCGAAAACCGTTGTGCCAACCCTCGGCAATTTCTTACATTCTTTACAATGCTGAGTTCTCTGCGTTGTATTCCAGGACTAGGTCATGTTACTGCATCTATCTCCAAAGTGCTTGCTTGTGGTGGAAGAAACATCCTCTCTTGGTAGTAGTGGGCCAGGTTGTCTCCACAGCGTTGATCAGGGCTCTCTCGTAGTCACTCATGACAGATTGAGGTTCGACTCCAAATGCAAGAAGCTCATCCAAGAGGGCTTCATAATGAGCCTGTGTCTTTCCGGGGAGTAAGCCGAATGCAAGGGGAATTCTTCAGCCGTCAGGATAGAGTCCGTGGATAGTCACCAACTGTGCAAACAAGTTAGGCGAGGTGCTAAAGGTACCATCGATGACAAGATGAGGGGCCTCAGCTAAACGATCCATGTTTTCCACAGTGCCGAACAGGAAAGATCTTCTTCTCTCTGCTGAGTAGGTAGAATCCCAAAGAAGAAAGTAGCGGTATCCGTCATGGATAGAGTTTCTTGAACCAGTAGTGCGTCCAGGAATGAAGGTGATTGTAGAAGACATGTTGATGTTGTTCGATGCTTCGGTAGAATCATCGTGACCTTATATATGGCCCAAGCATATGAACTTGTTATCCCAATCGGAGATATACCTTCATACGATGGGTGTGATAGGTATTAGGATCATATGCTGCTTACGAGTGACTCAGTGGATCATTATATATATACTGCATACATGTCGGACTTCGCACTAGAGTACTTGTCGCACTAGAGTATGTGTCGCACTACAGTACGATTACCGAAAGTTTTTTAATCGATCCATCCCAATGCATGCTCTGTTGAACTTAAAACGGCTGAAGGATCATATCGACATAAACTACGTCGTTCCGACAAAAATGGTAATGTCGAAAAAGGGTGAAAAAGAAACTGAACAGTGTACTGAAGAACTTAGTGATACAGAGTCACAAACTCTGGATCTGATGTTATTGAAATTCCTGAGTAATTCACTGCAGCTTTATCTGTAATGCTCAGACGGGGTAGACAAAATTTGTCGTTTTTAAGGTAAATGAAATAGAAAATGGTATCGAAAAGTCGAAATATGTAGCTAAAATTATGGTAACCAAAATTATGGTAACCAAATTTATTGTGAACCAAATTTATTGGCCTTAGGTATATTGAATTTGAAAATCGTGTATATTTTTATGTAACCACTAACCATGTTTATTGTTTATGCAACTTGACACTAAAATAACTATCATCAACAACGATCAGAAATGGTACCTTCACTGAACACTGGTTTAAAACTTGGCGTGTGCATATTGGTTACATGTTTGGTTTTCTTGATGTTTGAACTAGCAAATGACAAAGGAAAAAGGGTGGAGATTTCTGACACAGGCTCCTATATGGTCAATTCGCCAATAATAAATATTTCTGTCAGTGAGGGTGTAGTTTCAGACACATCAGAGAAAGTGATTTCAACATTAACAATTAATTCAGATCAACTGTTCGAGTCAAAAGATAAGCCAAGTTTAAGTCATTCGGAACAGATATCAATTAAAAAGAACTTGATGTTTATAAAGACCCACAAGTGTGGAACTTCCACTGTAGTTGATGTTTTTTATCTTCGTGGAGTCAGAAAAAGGCTCAACTTTGTCGTGGTTCCTTATGAGCATGACATAAACCCTTTAGAATCCCGGTGAGTTTATGAAGTTAAACGCATGCAGGCATGTAAAGGAGAATTAGAACTAATTATTCAGTGTTCAACATGACAGTGATACATTATCACTGTGATATATTATGTGATACATTATGATTTCTGATTTCTGAGAATTAATCATGTCAGTTTTCATTTCCTTTATTTTCCTTGTCACTTTGAGGAAAAGATCCTTATATACCCCGAAACGCATCAAAAAGGTTCTTTACTAAAAGTAAAACGTCCTTGTTCGGTTTCTTGAACTTATCTATAAATGTAATATAACTTATCTAATGAATAATGAATATCTTGATCACAGTTTATTGTCTTCATCACTTCCTCAACCCAACAACCAAGATCATTAGCAGCATCACTCAGTAAACCTGCAAACTGGCCCATATATTCATTAGACCACATATCCCATAATGTACTGAGAGTTGTATACTCAATACTGTATAGCACCAACACTGTTGAGAGTTCGGCGCTTACTGAACTTTGTTGTGTAGCTAAAGGTAAAATAACGATACTCGTCTTCTACATTTTGGAATTGAATACGTATCTAAAGTTCACGAAATCAACGTTAACACGATCTTTAGGTACTCTCAATTTGAATACGTTAAACAATCAAAAAAGTTTGATTTACTACGTCGTACTCGACAAAAGGTTAAAATTAAGTTGAATAATTTTGGTCATGACATAAACGATAATACCTCATATTTTATAATTCCTATTTTCAGGAGCATGCTACCTCCAAGACCTGGATCAGTGTACAACATGCAGTGTCAACACGGAATTTTCCGACCAGATGCTGAACACACGATAATGCCCAAAGAAACCTCTCTTTACTCTACTATTGTCAGATCTCCAGTGTCCCAGTTTCAGTCTGCTTTTAGGTTTTATAGGGATGAGTACACAATGCGAATGGTATGTCATCAAATGTAAAAGCTTCGTTTTTAGTCCCGATTTTTAATCCCGTTCATCCAAATTCTCTCTTCGTACCAAGTTAGGTTACAGAAAATGGCTGATATAGATTTGCCCTAACCACTAACAAAACAAGCGAATCAATATATTCATGAACAAGCCACAAGGGGGTTGGAAGACTCCATTTGTCTCAGAACAATTCGTTTCATTGGAACTTTGGGCCAAAAAGACTGGACAGTGGCAGTGGCGTAACGTTGCCTGTTGTTTTGTTATGATGTTTAGTTGGCAGTATCGAGATAGCCCGACCACTGTCCGCGGACAACTGTCCGCAGACACCTGTCTACCAGATCATATTACTGTATAATAACAATATCCCCTGAATCAAGCAACAGGTGTTTGTGAATAGTTGATTGGTTACCAGATCATATGAATGGTATGTATGGTATCTTGGATGCAATTAGTTACGACTAGCATAATTAATTGTAGCGTAGTAAATTTCTGGATCAAACTATTGATTACGATTCAAATGTGGTCTCTCGGATATAATTAGTTACGAATAATATTGATTGCTCAATGAAATAAATGATTACGATTAAAATGTGGTATATAAGTCGTTCGTTTTTGGTGAAGTATTATCAGTTGCCATCATCAACAACAACAACTATTTCAATTCCTGACATGGTACTCTTCTGTCTAATGGACGAAATTAATGGACCCACCGCCTCCCTAGAGAATGCTCGAGACTTCCTATTCCAGAAAAACCTCCTAAAGAGCTCCATGTCCTGTCCTGGGTGTAATGCATCTATGTCCCTGGTTCCCTGCTCGTCCTCGAAGTCTCCAGATGGACTGATATGGCGCTGCTCCCCCTGCAAGAAGTACAAGAATATCAGAACAGACAGCATCCTCTCTGGACAGAAGCTCGCTCTCAAGACCTTCATACAACTGCTGTTCTGTTTGAGTATAAAAGGACTAGCGTCTAGCTGGCATTGCGGTATCACAGATGACTGGACTTTCTGAAAACGCGGTGTCTGACTGGAAGATATTCATCCACACTCGAACCCTGCTTGACTCAGGGGATGATGTGAACCCTGCTTGATTCAGGGGATGATGTGAACCCTGCTTGATTCAGGGGATACTGTTATTATGCAGTAAAATGATCTGGTAGACAGGTGTTTGTGGACAGGTGTCTGCGGACAACTGTCCGCGGACAGTTGTCCGCGGACAGTGGTCGGGCTATCTCGATACTGCCGTTTAGTTTTACTGAATAATCGATACATTTGGTAACCAGACTTCTGAAATCTGTAACTAATCATTAAAAACACTGATTGCTGGAAAAAGGCCTCGTATTTATGTAAAAGTTGGTCCATAATTTATGAAACATCTTTATTTTTGAAGAAAAAGGTGGTCATGTGAAATTGATATTTAATATTTTCATCGTATTGCAGAATGTTGGAATCAACACTTCAAGAGAAGATAAACGCCTTTATAGAACATCTGGACCAAGAGATGGACTTTGTTATGATAACCGACAGAATGGACGAAAGTCTTATCATTCTTAAAGAATATCTTAGCTGGAATATGACTGACATTGTGTATCTAAATCGTAATGTCAGCTCAAAGCCAAAAGTGACACTGTCAGAGGAAATTAAAGCAAAAATATTGAAATATCAAGTTATAGATGCTCAAATATTTGATTATTTTAACAAAACATTCGAGCTGCACCTCGATAGGGTAGGCAGAGAAAAAGTAGCATCTCAAGTCAACGAGTTTGTAGAAATGAGGGAATCTTTTGAAAACAAATGTTTAAACAAAAATAAGATTGTTAGTAATCCCAATGCATCAATCAAATGGGAGTTAACAGAGTACGGTAAAAACATAAATGTGGCCTGCACATTTCTACAGAATAAACCTGCCTTATTGACTGAAGTCGTTGGACAGCTTCAGCTTTCCCAAGACTATACCATCCCTATCTTCCCTAAAGGACAAGAGCGTTTCTTGATGCGAGATATCGTTTCTAAAATCCAACGGGACTATGATAATAATGAGGATCCAGTGTGATCGATCCGGTGAAATTAAGACAGTTTTGAAACACTGAGACAGTCTGAGTTCTTTAGCTTTGATCAGTATCTGATGAACGGTGCTAGAGCTTCCAAATGATACTTTGACAGCTCTATGTTTTTCAGCAGCTTTACTCCCAATTCGAAGCGTGGCTTCTCTGCCAATATAGTATATTTTTATTTATTTATAATAGTGTGATGTTTTAGTTGCAACTCAAATTTATAATTCTAGATAAAGCGGTTTGAGGTTTCGTCATTAACTAAAATAAAGAAATGTGCCTATACCATTATCAATTATATATGGGGTTTGATGCCAAACTCTGAAATTTAGATGAAGGGGACCATTTTACGATTTTTTTAATTTTTACAAAGGATAGAAACGAAACAAAGTTCTACTGTTCTGTACAATTAGAGTTTTTTACTTGAAAATGTGCATATTTACTGGAGCAGGTTTATGCACATTGCACCTGAATTGTTGAGTTTTATTTTACATTTTTCAGTTTTATTTCAAATTTTTTATGATCGCTGCACCGACAACCTGTTGACTGTATTAAGATTTTTGAAAGATGCAAAATTCACCATATTTTGTTGCATAAAATCTCAAAACATCATTTTTAATTGTTCACATTTGAAGTAATAATAAATCCAAGAGCAAAGTGTAATAACACCACTAATGAGATAAAACTTACACTCACCTGTGTTTAATCTAAAAATTCGGAAATGAACTTACAAATTTGGTCAAAATGATAAAAAACAGTATTGGGTATTATCTTAAATTAGTCTCATTAAAGAAAATCTGTACAAAATCAAACAATCGAATTCTCTGCAACTAATATTGCAAATTTTGAGAAGTAGTTTTATCTAAGGTTCAGTTTTATCCTTGTCAGTAGTAGACCAAACAGAGGATATGGTAGGAATGTAAGAAATTCTCTCCAAGTGTGGAATTGGAGGTAGTCCAGACAATGTAAATCTGCTAGCATTTCTGCGACTCGGGGAACGTGGCTGTGCCGGCTGTTTTGTAAATAGTCTGATAGCCCCCATTCTGTCGGTGTCTAGTTGGAACATTTTTGGTATAAGGAGGGGCTTGGATCGGTTGTCCTGAGATTAATGATGTTCACATTTGAGGAAGTGGTAATAAAAGGAAATGAAAGAAATTCTCGAAAAGTCACAGTATTTTAAGAAATCATACTCTAAAAAATAATTTTGAGGTGTGTCAGTATTGAATAAAACTCCTTTAAAATATATAATTATTAATTATTTTGTCCAGGCAGCATTAAGTTAACTTACATCTTTATAATCAGTTTTCCAGTTCCCAATTTGTTTATTGTTGGCGACTTGTTTCAACACTGGAATTTCCTCTAATTTAGCAGGAATAGTGCTGGAAGTAGAGGTGCTGTCCTGCTTCATTACATAGGGGACTGTCACGTTTATTGTACGCTTTTCTTGTACGTCCAGAAGCTTCTTAAACATCACTGGAGAGAATTTCAGTTGAAAATGAATTTTCACTTGCCGATCCGGTTCCAGAGATCGCATTAAAAACTAAATTAAAGTGAATGAAAATAATAGCACTATAAAAGTAGACTTACGGTTACAATTGCCTTGATGAAAAACTGGTCTCACGACAGATTTAAGAAGTTTGCTGTCCTGCAGAGTATCAAAGAAGTGTTCCTCTTCCTCTAGCAAGCTTCCGCAGTACGATGAAAATTTTCTGATAAAGGAAGTTAACATTTAATACATTTTATCAAACATCATTTTTATGGGAAGAAAAAAAAAACCAAGCAGCATCAGAATGAAAATGGCCGAGAAAAGGTCTCAAAAGAAGGTTTAAACACGACAAGTGCTGAACACTGGAATAATTGTAACAGTATAAATCATACCGACCCTATTTGGATGTGAAGTCGTTTGTGCTGGAGGTCCATAGCATTTCTAATCCTGCGGTGAAGAAGGAAAGCCCGGTTCATGTCACTGGAACCATGTTCCTCCTTCATCACTTCGTTCTGAAGATCTGAGAACCGGCGATACTTGATGTAGGCTCGGAACAAGTGACAGATCTTCGTTTCTATCAACTCCAACCACCTAAAAGCAGGATTTTGGTGACCTAAGGTTTTCGTTTCTGCCGTATTTAAGGTTATGATTTTAAAAAAATCCCGATTGCTTAAAATGGCGTTTATATTAGACAGGTGCTCAAGCGATGAAAAGATTTAATTAGCGTTGGCTCTGAGCTGTCACATTAAAGTAGTCCTTGATCCCTTCTCCTTAAAAGCTAGCTAGGTAAACGAGGTAAAAAGTTAACCATGGTGCTATAATCTGATCCATCAGCGGAATATAATAGTCCCTTACCTGTTGATGATGTTGGAGACAAGTTTGTGAGCGAGATTGCTAATTATCCCCAATCTATGGGCTTTATCGAATGTATCAAGGTTACCTCTCTGATCCGCCACCCTAACATACATTCTAGGCACGAGCGACTGCTCTGAAACCTCCTCAAACATTGAAGGAGGTGCAGGCAACACTCTTTGTGGACCAGGGAAGGGTAGTATGTTCTGTTGATCAGGCAATACTTCCCCTGGATCATTAACAGCACTAGGAATTTCAGAAGAGGCATGAGGGGTTGCAGAAGGGGTACGAGACTGCACCTCACTCATTCCCAATGTCCCAACTAGCTCGGGATGGTCCTTCCAGAACTTTACTAGAGCTTTCTCTATAGATTGAACTTCGTTTTCCTGGAAATATACCGCATCAGTGGAAACCTGCTGAATGATAATTACATAATACCGTTATGATAAAAGGAGCGTAAGTATAGGGGCCAGGGAATCAAAATAAATGCCAGAGCTTCTTAGGTAATTAAATTCGCCTCAAGACAAACTTTTCGAACACCACATTTTTTGAGAGTAACACACTTAACAGTTAACACTGGTTAAATTGATAGATTCGCAGAATTTAGTTGGCAATTTGATTGGTAGATTATTTAAAATATACTTGCAAAAAAAGTTTCTGGATAAAGGGATCAGATCCCATAAACCCTAATCACTAATACCCAACTACTTGATAACATGATCCACTATAAGTATAAGGGTTACCAGAGTAATCACTAATCACTAATACCCGACTACTTGATAACATGATCCACTAGGGTTACCAGAGTTGTTTGTTTATAGAACCCGTCCCCACTCTCGTATCGGAAAATGACTAAACTCAGGTCTGAGTGTGAATACGGGTGGTACCTGCAAGAGTTACCGGCTACAAGCGCTGACATCATGTAGTTAGTAGTACATAACCAGTCCCTTCTGTTCCAAACATATCGATTCATCCCTCTTTACAATCCACCACCAAGCCATCTACAATCTGAACATCATGCCTAAAAGAAGAATCCCCCGTAGGGAACTTCCCTTTCTCCCAACTCTTTTAGATGAAATGCCCTTCTCCAAACTGCCTTCAAATGGTGTCGTACTTCGGAGGATCATGTTCGAACTGGAGCATCACCACGGAGCTGTGAGTCTAGCTGATGCTGCTTTAACCGTTAGGAAAGAGTTGGTGACGTTCTGGGAGTATTTATGATACGTAGACGTATTGAAGACGACCGTCACAATTGTAAAGCAGATCAAGTCCCTTCATCTAAACTACAAGTCTATTTTGAAGGTGCCAATATCTCGGCGTGGAAAGGCTTTCTTCAAAAAGAAAGAAGAGCCTTTCCTCGACTCCCTCCTGGATCTGTTCGACATCAAGACAAAAAAAGATCTGAGTGTTCATACTTGATATTTTGCTATATTGATATCTTTAAAAACAACTCGACTAGTTATGATAGTACCTTACTGAACTTTTTATTATATTTTACTCATTACGAATATTATATCGTTTTGACTATTACGATTGTAACATTTTTTCCATCCTGGAGTATATAGTTTTACTTAGGAGCTTAGGGTTAGAAGAAGATAACATTGCAGTGCCTTTCAAATCCTACGGATGTATGCACATAATATAATACTCACCGTCTAGGTAGGGTTTTATTTTGCAAAGCGGAATAAAAATCCTTATAAGGACGTATTTTTAAAGCGTGAACCTTTTTATCCTTGAATTAAAGTTAGAAACCACTTATTGCTCATTAGTTTTCATTGGATTGAAATGAATAGTGATATGGAATGATACGTAATGGTATTGTCGATCAACTAATTTCTAATTCCGACCAGATTGCAGGTAAATTTACAACAAAACAGAGTTCTACCAGCACGGACCTCATGATATGGACAATACATTTGATTTACTTTGCATTCGGAGTTCCTACCAATATTCTAGCTATCTGCTTCTTCTTTAAAGAACGACTGAAAGGAGTGATGAAATACCTCTACATACTCACCGCTCTTCAGGACCCATATCTTTACAGTTTACTCTCGTTTAAGCATGACATGACACGGCGTCTGGCTCCCAGGGTACTCTCCAACCCAAGACAAACTCTTCAGGAATCAGGATATCACACAGAATGTCTGTGTTCCTGGTTCCAGCTCTGTCCGTTTCCAGAACCTACATCCTTCTTTTCCCACTAAGAAGAGTCAGTGTCAGAGCTGTGTTGGTCCTCCTAGCTGTTGTTTGGATGCTGATGACATGTTTCTCCTTGTTCCCGCCTCTCCTGGGTCTGGTACCATTGGGAGGCTGGTTATTGCTGGGATAAACCCGGGGGACCATGCTTCAACAACTTGGGGTGAACTGGGCCATACAATGGATACGATAGCACTTGCATGTCCTATCCTTCCGATCACCATGAGCTGCATTATTTCAGCAGCTTAGATAATGAACTCTAAGGAAAAACAAGATCGGACTGACCAAACTGATAAAGACAAAAGAAGCAGCTGTGAAAAAGAGAAATAACCGATTTACCTTAACCATCATCCTGGTAACAATCCTTTACATAATCTTCAACATTCCTCTCTACCTTAACTTTGTCCTTTACCTGATCACGATAAAGACATTACAATACCCTGGTCCCATCTACAGTACTCCTCTCATGTATTTCTACTCTTGGAACGTCGCCAGCTTCTCAGTCTCAGCACCACTCTGAATGCGTGTGCTAACCCCGTCCTTTACTGGTTTAGATTCAACCGGTTCAGAAAATGGATAAAAAGAAGACCTCTTGCACTGACCAAAACCAAAACAGATACAAGTGATCGGGGAACGCTGGATGAGAGCGAAACAAGGAATCAGAATAAATCTCGTGCTCTAGTGAAGGATGGCATTACCTCATCAGCCATGAAGTTAAACATTTAAACAGTATAATTGTCAATTGATACGGTTGTGGAGACTAAACTTTAGTTGATCATGATATTGCTTTAACATATATTGTTAGACTTCTATGTACAATTGAAGTACATACAGATCAATCAAACGGATACAGATCAATCAAATGTGATCAGAGCTTATTACACATATATGTACAATGTACATAATTATACTCATATATTTTAAATCATCTTATTACGGTTAATCTAAGTTTCTAGAATCCATACTCGCTTGAAATTTTGTCCACGAAGTAAATATACTTCATCAGTTAGATATAAAATGTTTTAAGAAGATGTTCTAACCTGAGCTTTTTCATATTCCAGCTCAGTTTTAATTTTCTCGTTAACCCATTTTTCTTTCTTTGAAACGAGTTCCTTTTCCTTCTTTAACCTATCGTTCATGTGATCTGTAACAGTTTTTGTTACCGTGTGATTTACAATAAGGAAACAACCTTATGTTAAAATAGTCATAAACTTAAAAAGTGGCAGTAGACTTTGGGAAATTCAGGAGTCACAGTTTGTTAAGATTTGCTAAGATTTGCTAAGATTTGCTAAGATAGTTACATGATACATCCGAGATAGTTACATACCAAGAATTGAAAATACAGCTTTCTCTCTGTCTTTAATTCGTCTATCTAAGTCTTTATCGTCCAGACGTTTTCTTCCCGAAAGATCTCTTATCTTCATGTCCTTCTGCTTGATTGCCTGAATTGAAATATTGTTTAATCGCTCGTCCAGGAAGGATCTATTGTAGTGCATTGAATTAGGTAATTTAAAATAAAACTAATTCTTAAATGAAATTCAAAAAAGTTTACTTGAAAGACGTCAAATTCCAGCGAACTGAGCGTCTCAGTACTTTGAATACGTAGTTGTATTGGACTCATTTCATTCTTGACAGTAGTTGTTGGCACGATCTGTGTTATATCCTTTCCGTTTAGTATCTCAATCAGCATTTCTCTAAATCTGTAACCGACATAGATATGAGAATATGAGGTATTTAGTATTAAGATCTTTGTTGGCATTGCCCATTGGTTTACTTAATTTTATCAAGTAGGTACACACAAGATTGGACAGAACAGGTTTAGAGAAGGTTCCATCCACAATTTTAATCTATCTAATCGGTAAGCCTAAAGTAGGTTCTCCTGTTCCCCAATCTAATCTACTAATTTACTACTAATCTACTTCTAATCTACTTCTAATCTACTACTAATCTACTTAGTGGATTAACCTTTGTATGGAGTAGAACACTTTGTTAAATTCTTTCTTGTGGTTACTTAGGAATTTCTCGTGCTCGTTTATCAGCCTTCTGATAGTCGCATCGTTTCTTGTTTTCTCTTTTCCTATAAATTCTCGGACTTTTTCCATGCTTTTCTCAGATTGCTCACGCATTGAAGCTATGTACTTTTGCAGTACAGCAATATCCTGAAATGCAAATCACTTTAATGAATACAGCGAAGGGTTAACTAGGGTAAAACTCAAGGATAACTTTTAACAATATTGTCAAGCTACAAATAACATGTTTATCATTAATCACGCAGTTTAATCCAATATTTTATAAGCTCATTATTAGGAGAAGCTCAGAAGCTTGTTAACTCACTTCAACTTGTTTGACTGTTTTGTTGTTTATGTCGTGTGTCCGCTGAAACTCATGTAACGTAGCCAGGTCAGATTTTGTGAGGGATTTTGACCCCGCTCCAATACCGAACACATCTGAGTTTAAATTAATTTAAATATCGACTCGACTTATCATACCCACCTCCTATGAGTTAAAAAGATTCTCCTAGAAACTCAACAAAAATCTAAATCGGTTTTAAATCTTCGTAAATAATCAATTACCTTTTTGTGACATACTGCCTTTTCTGTGGGCGGCTTCAACAACGCTTACCCTTCGTGCAGCTTTTCGAATGCCAGCATCAGCTGCAATCGCCACACTCACTTTTCTGCTTTCTCTTCTCTTCCTCTTGTTCATGAATAATTCACCCAAATCAGGACTGACAAAATCGCTGTCTTTTTCTTCAACCTCATCCGTTTGAGTTTCCAAATCTTCCATCTGCAAATGAGAATGGTAAATTGATTCAAAATCTAGAGCTGTCATTTATTTAATATTAGGTATAAGGAGGACTAGGAGGGCAATTGAAGATCTCAGTCGAATTGTTATGTCGTGTAATGCTTAAAAATCTAACCTCTATTTCTGTATTTGTAGCTCCGTCAATCAGTATAATTTCATTAGAAGTTGGGGTACTCATCCCCTCAGAATCTAGGTCTATGGACTCAGTAATATGACTGGAATCTACGATATCAATATCAGGAGAAGGGGGCGGTGGTAGCTCATCAATAACAAGGGGCTTCTGCTCCACTCTCTCCTCCCTGATAGTTTCCGCATTAGCTGTCCCCGATATAATCGCTTCCTCCAATTCCACGATCTTGGTTTTCTGAGAGTTAGCTGTGGCGTTCAGCTGGATGATGGTCCCTTCCAACTGCCTGATTTGCTTGTTCTTCCGGACTAACACTACCCTTATCGCTTCGTTTGAAGCAGCCAGTGCTTGAAGTTTACCTGAAATATCCTAGAAACTCAATTTGTAGTGATCGTTTAAGGCTTCTAAATACTGCTATTTATTATGCTAAACAGTACACTTTTACTCGTTACTTCTTCACATACTTCAGTTCAGGGTTTGACACAGTCAAGCGATGAGTAAGAATAATGTAAAACTTTTTCTCTGCCCACTTAACACCTAACTATCGGATGTTTAACGATAGTTCTGTACCTTCGACTTCAATATCTGACGACTGGAGGATTTCTCGCAACACGGCTTTAGGGACCACAGCTTGTTTAATATTCCCCTTGCTTTCCTTCCGCTCCTTTACCACTGAGGAGTTAGTCGTGGCCGTGGGTTTATTGGCCATACTTTCTAATGAACTTATTTTCATGCTCAGTTTAGCTATTGTCGTGTCTTTGTCCTTGATTTGGTCTTGTAAGGTGTCGACCCGCTGACTTAGTTTTACTCGACTCTCTTCCAACTGAAACATGTTGTCAGTGGTTTGTGGTTTTATTTTATGCACTAGTAGTAGTAATATCCAATATATATAATATAATACCCAGCTCGGACAAACAAAAAACTACCGAAAATTATTTTTAAAATGTGGCAGTAGTTGTACAAACCTTGGGTAACCGATTTGCAAGGTTGTTGCATTTGATTTGATCCTCTGTAGCTCTCTGGTTTGCAGCTTTAAGTTCGTTCTTGGAGTGCTGTAGAAACTTTTGCAAAGCGTTCACTCTGCGAAGTTAAAGTTTTTTATTTGCGACTTGAAAAGCTATGAATACACTTTAATAAAATTAAAGCTAAAAGTTATCAACAAAATCTCAAAATATATCACAATGCTGGCAAGCATGACCGTGCCTCTTATATTCACAATACTATTTGCCCCCTTTACTATTTACCCCCTTTACTATTATACCCCCTTTACTATTATACCCCTTTATTGTTTTTCAGGCATTAAGACTCATCGAAAGTAGTTTAGCAGGTATATTTAAGTTCAAAACATTCTAATTCAATGTCAAATATGACAGGAATAAGAAATAGTTATGTGGAGGTTTTTTAAGAAATTTGCGCAAAATACGCGCCAGCATGTTATACGAAATTCGGTAAAAAACCGAAAATTGCCATATTCAGGTGCCTTAAAAACCATGTTAAAATTGAGTTAGAGATGTGAAACTTTGCAGGGCGTCTAGACGTTGACCAAATCGACTACAAAAAAAGTTTCAAGTTTCAGTAGCATTGGGAAGTGGGTTTTCTAGAACCCCTGTTTTACGACAGATTGTCGTGATATATACATATTCAGGGATAGACGCTTTGACAGTCAAATGTAGTCAATTGTATCCTAAATTTAAGTGTCCATAGATTCAAAAGTATAAAAGATACAGCCATTTCCGACCACAGGTCTTGAAAATAATTGTTTACACTTTAGTTTACATTGTATACAAAAATTATTTGACGTCACAAACACCCCTTGATGACGTCATCAATTTAACGGTTTTTAAAACTTGATTTTCGACAAAGTAATAACTTTTAAAATTGATTTTACACCATTTAAAAGTAATTTTTTTCAACATCTGAGGAAATTTTCATCTTAGATAATTGTTCAAGCATTCTGAAAATCTACCGGAAAGTTTTCTTATCTTACTCCTTTATAAAGATATTTGCCTTTGAAGTTAGTGCTTTTTTGAAAGATTATTTTATAAAAACGTCAATTTTGCGATTTAGTATTCTCTGGTGTTGGGCTATCCCTTGGGTTGTGGAGCTCAGTTCTGCTTTCTATAGGTATAAATTGTGCATTAGGCTAGTTTTAAAGTTGAAAATCGAAAAGTTGCACACGTGAGGACACGCCCAAATTGATTAAAAATTGCTAAAATCACTGAAAATTGGTGTTTTCACGATTTTTATCAACTTTGGAGTCCCGTTGTGATCCAAGTTCTATTTGAAATCTTTTGAAACTTTGCACGCTTATCAAACTATATATAAAATACCACTATGCAAAAATTTACGGTGATTCAGTATTGGATGCGCACGCAACGTCCGCTCAAGGTTTGCACGTGCGAACGGTGAGAATTTTGCTCATTCGTGATTTCGAACAAATTCTGCTTTACCACGACAGTTCAATGTCATTATATATGAATTTAATGGCAACTTGAATGATTATAATGTTTTATGTTCAGTCAGTGATAGACCAATATGCTTACTTAAACACAAGGAAATGTTTTTAAAGGAAAAATTTCGAAATCGTTGAAACTCCTCCTTAATAATGAAGACATCAGTTTATATTTCGACTTTATAAAGTACCCTGACATTATAATCAAAAAGAGATGATATTTGACCAAAACCCATAATCATGGGTAGAGTGGACCGCTGCCAGTGTCTCTCTTTCCCAAACAAAAGGAAATGATATTAATTTGATTGACCGTTCTCAAATGCAAAATGATACCGAGAATGAAATCGGTCGCTCGCTTTTCCCATTAATTTACAATTGTAATAGATTAAGAAGAACTACCCGAAGGCAGCTGTACTCAGCAATAAAGATTCAATAAACTTCAGCTAATTCACTAACTACCAGTACCACCCTTATCCCGAAATACTAGGTATATCGACCCGAACGCAACCCAAAGGAATTTTTACAGCATGTGATTAATTGTAAGCCGTGAATGAATGGGAAAAGTGAGCGACCGATTTAATTCTCGGTATCATTTTACATTTGAGAACGGTCAATCAAATTAATATCATTTCCTTTTGTTTGGGAAAGAGAGACACTGGCAGCGGTCCACTCTACCCATGATTATGGGTTTTGGTCAAATTACTAATATAATATATTACTAAGACGTCACATCACAATAGACTACATAGCAGCAAAAAAAATACTTTGCTATTGCAGGGTTCGCCTCTTCTGGAAGAAAATCCTGATCGTTTATGAATTTCAAAACAGCTTGAACTGTAGAATTGACATCCAAGGCTGCAGGGTTGAACTGTTCCGGTTCTTCTTGGGTTTTAACAATGATACTCTGGAGATTACATTAATTTGAAGAAATGAGAAAAAATCAAGTAACATATAAATGTGCACTACGTCTCCAAATTTCAAATTATCCGCGAATCAGTGTTTTGAAAAACGATGAAAACTGAAAAGTAAAAAACTAAATATATTGTAAATATATGCTAAAAACAATACCAAATACGCAAATCAGCAAATCGCACTGTTCTTGGTGCTATAATCTATTAGCTTAGGCTACTTCAATGTATCACCTACGGCCATACTTCGTTGATTTACTTATTTAGAAAGTTTATGAAAGACGTTCATTAGCCTTACCGGCCGAGGTTCTTTACGGGCTCCGATTCCCATACTCATCCCAGCGAAATTAAGGGCTTTGAACTGTTTACTCATACGTCGGTTTCGGGGGTTGCTGTTTACCAGTTCTGAGATTTCCTTCTTTATGTTGCTGAAATATTATGGTATCAGGAGAGGGTTCTTCAAACATGTAATTGATAGGTTGTATGTTTTCAGTTTGTAAAAAAACGTTATCTTTTCATTAGTGACATTTAAAAGGGGGCAATCCTGTTGTTAATGTTACCTGAGTTTAGCATTACAGGAAAAGATGTTACGTTCGACAGTGGACTTAACTTTAGCCCTCTCTTTCAGGAGCGCCAATATCTCCTAAAGCATGATTTTCTGAGTTACTGCAACAATGGCGATAATCATAAAGAAATTACATTTAAGACTGTAAAAGTATTTGATTACACAAATTCGGTTTTGGTGCGTAAAGATTTCGATTTCTTGAAGCGGAGATGAGATTGAGTACATCACATTCACAAGAGTTAACATACAGAGTTGGCATCTTCCTCATCGAAGGGCTCCTCCTCTTCCTCCTCCACCTCCTCAGTTTCCTCCTCTGCTCCAGGCCCAGAGTGATGTATCGTCTCTACAAGGGGAGATAATTTGAAATTTTTTAACGTTTAAACATCCGAAATACAGTCACATGCATTTTCACTGAAGAGGAGTTTTCCTATAATATATAATGCATTAATTACAGAATTATTTACTTGCAATTTAAAAATCTAGGAGAAAAACCTAATCTGAAGAGTAAATCCTCAATGAGGTCCTCTAGTCCGCGTAGTAAATCTGTTCCCCTTCCAGCTGATTTTTCTAAATCGTTTGACAGTTCTGTACACATTTTCATTCCTTCTTGAGCCTGTTCAGGAGTTGAAGAGGTCAGTTAACAGCTAGTATGAATGCGAATAGTAATTATGATATTGGAATAATCTGTAGAATGAGAAGTATAATCAAAATTAGACTGAGAGATAGAATGAGAGATAAGAATGCGAGATACAACACAAGTGTGTACACTGTAGTTGTACGCAGTGAAACATATTACATAAGAATTTAGTTGAATTCCGTGATAAATATCTGCATTTGATTTTTGGAAGCTATACAAATATTTATATACCTTGCTGGTGATGAGCGTTTCATCATCGCAATCGTTTTGCAAGACTTCCACACGGCTAGTTAATATTTCATAGTCGATCGCTATGTCATCGAAACCCCGACCCCTCTTAGCATCTTCGATCTTATACCATACTGCCCTGATGCAGATGACATAATGAGCGGGTTTTTTAAGGGAAAGGTTTGAAAATTCTAAAAGTTCATAAAGCACGTCATCTTTGAAAGTTCACAACGAACAACTTAAAACTCACGTCTCCAAGCAATCATTGAGTGAGCTATTTGAGCCAGATCCATTCATTATGTCATTTTATTGTAGTCACGTCGATTCTTTTGGTTATTGGTGATTACCTTCAATTCGGTATTATAAAATCTTGTGTTTTTGGCTGATCATGAACCTGAAGAGAAAATTAAAAAGATACATAATTTATTAGCTTTACCGTTTGTGTTTGAACTTTGATCTGACTGTTAGAATCTTAAAAAAGAACTAGAAGCGGACAATTGCAATAATATCGTAATGCTTCAATCTTCGGACCATTTTGAATCCGTACAAAACCTATTATTATTAATATAATGCTGAAATATGGTAAAATATAGTAACTTTACATTTTAAAGGTACGAATGCATAAATTGATCAGGATTTAAGTGGTTCACTGTAGACAGAATCTGTACTCAATGAGCTACATTAACATTTTATTAGACTCGAAGTGAATTTATTACTGTATGGGAGGTTCAAAGGAAAAGTATCACAGAACCCAAGTCCCAACGGCCTACCCTGGCTTCGCTCCCTTCATAGTCATACTGTCGTGGGAACTGCATACGATCAAATAAATTATATAATAATTATTGAATTAACTTGAGTCTTGACACAATAGTGGGTTAGAAACTAATAAAGTCTGACCATTATGATATAAACGAAATGGTGACGATAAACTGTAAGAAAGAGGGAGTGAACATGATTCCTTTTACTACTTCTGTATGGTGTAGTGTGAACAATGCAAGCTCAAAATTGCGTACCTACGACTTTCAGACAAGGGTCAGATATTAATGCAAAATTAGGGTTTAAGTAATTAGATTTGACGATTTCAAATATATAATCATGCGAACGCGTGTAACTACAAATTCAAACTGCTATAACGCGAACGCTTTGTCGACCATAACATAAACTCCAAACACCAAATGTTATGTACACTACCGCGCGTTTACACGCTCGATCTTTTAATTAAATTTTGACGTGCATGCAAACATGCGCGCGCGCTTTAAAAATAAATTTGAATGATACAATTACTGATTACACATATGACGTTAGACATACCGTCGTACTAACTAGAACTAGCTACCAAACGAAGAATAGATACAAATTCAAATCAGTGCAGTACAGTTTAGTGCATGCTTTGATTGACGATGTCAATCCGTCGAGATCGTTGCTCTGCGAAGCAGGAATGCTAGTTTGCGCGGCGCGTCGAAGCGGCGAAGTCCTCCAAGTGCATGCTGCTTGTACTTGTAGTAGCGCGAAAGCACTTTGTAAGATCGGCGAGATGCGTTACTGGGCCTCGCCGAGCTGCGAAGAATTGACATCGTCAATTTAATTAACATTATTACTGATTACTACTGATTACGCAACGGCCGGGTTGAGGCCTGGGTCGATCATAGGGGCCGCCTTAATGAGAAAAAATATGGCCTATGTAAATGTTATCTGTAATCATAGCGGAAGTTATAATTGAATTTCCACCGAAAGCACATTTCTTTCCGAATTTTAGCCCGAGGCAAGTGCCACAAGTACAAAGTAGTGCGCGCTGGGTTCAGGGTTAGTCAAGCTCAAGTTTGACACCACTTGGGGTCCAAATTTTGGGCACTAAAATTCTTATTTCTTGGCCAATTTTCTATTTTTTTTTTTTTTTTCATGCTGATTCTAAGGCCATTAATAAAGCATTTGAACCAGTCAAAAAAGTTTAAGTTGTATATATTTTACGGTTTTTTGCGGAAAGTCGTGTTAAAGTTGATGCCGTGGTGTCAGTATAAAATGGTACGGATATATATACAGGATTAAACATATAGATATATATAGATCGTCTCGCTTTAAGTTTATTGTTTATATTAATATATTAATATAGTAAGATACACAAACCTATAATTGCGATTTGCGTTGGAGTCATGAGAATTTTATTATTTCAGCCGTCAATTTAACACGGGGCTTTAAATCATTAATTTCTACCGCTTTGTAGAACTTGATTGACGATGTCAATCCGTCGAGATCGTTGCTCTGCGAAGCAGAGCAACGATCGATGATGCGAAGCAAGAATGCTAGTTTGCGCGGTGAAGTCCTCCAATGCAGTAGAACATGCTATTTAGATTGCACCACCACAATGCACCTGCAATATTGTGGACCGTGCATATGGTGCAACTGTAGGAGTGGGGTAAATACCTTTGATATTTTGTTTCATCATGCTTACATAATGCTTGCTTCTACTTAAACTTCTACTGTCTAGGCTGCTCAAGTTTAGTTTGGAGAAATGAAATTACCTTTTCTCTTAAAGTTAAACATATCGATCAATTATGATTAAGAATATTAATATTACAACATACAAATGAATTATTAATTTACTGTTCACTGTTATAAAATGGCGTGGCGACCAACTGAATTTAGTTTAATACAAATTTTGATAGGTTAAAACATCATGTAGTTTACTTATCGCCGAATAAAGTCCACTTTTAAAAAATTCTAAATGCAAAAATCTAATCAAGTTGACAAACTAATACTTTTATGAAATGTTGATCCATGATCGTTGATACAAGATTCAACTAGTGATCTAAACACTTAAATTCCAAATAAAAAATGTATCGTTGCCATCGTAATTTTTTAGCCATTTGTAAAAAACTGAGTACTAAAAAGTGAATCGAGCTTAAACTCAATAAAATATAATTTATAATGATAAATAAAAATCGTAAAATACATGATAGTGGTATGAAGTGCAAGAAATTCAAATCTTTAAAAAGTAGAGTTCTGAAATTTGCTGCAATAGTTTAAGAGGAAAGAACAGTTTCCAATCTCGAGCACAATTGATCTAGATCTGATATAGGTTTGAGCAGCTTCCCAAAGATGTGGAACCTATCTGACAGTCTCTCAAACTGAGTGGAGATCTTGAGAGCATCCGTAATGACTGGTTCCGGAATTCCAGCGAGTCGGGCGGCGTTAAATCCAAAACTCTTCGGACAAGACCCTGGGCGAGCAAGAGAGCTTAGTAATCATGAATAAATAACCGTTTGAAATTAATCTGTAAGGTAAATTATACTATTTATTATTAGTAGACTAAGAACAGATGAATAGAAAGTTTTGTATCTAGATATAAATACCCGGAGAGAGTTTGTAAAGGAATGTGATGTCCTGTTCGTCCTCCTCACTGTTGTTCATACAGCTCATGTGACCTAACGTCACCTCACCTTTCTCTCCCAGCTCATCTACCAACCTGTACATTACCACAATATTACCGGAGGCTTCTTATTTGTTATACATTTTAACATCACTCGAAATAAGAGATATAACAAACGGCGAACCTTACAAACCAAGCAGATATAATAACCTGTGATAGTGAGTAGAAAAGAGGGTTCTGCTCTGGATTTCCTGACTGATATTCTCAATAACACTCCCCGCTATTGCTGTTCCATCGTATGTAGCAGTTCCTCGACCTGTGTAAGATCAAGCAGGTAAGAGGGTGCAGCTAGAAGCTTATTTGATGGGTTGAATAATGTTTAAATAACCAGCAAATAGTATTATTATTTCTGATTTAATCGTCATGCTGTAAACGTAATGTCTAGAGGATTGTATGATATCCATACCCAGCTCATCCAGGAGCACTAAAGAATGTCTTGAAGCGTGGGTTAGGATTGTACTTGTTTCCGATAACTCAACGAAGAATGTGCTCTCCCCTGAAGCGAAACTCTTTATTGATAATCAATTAATAGGTCGAACAATCAACACTTCAAATAAGAAACTCATGTGACGTTATCTTTGCCGAGACGAAGTTAAATGAATAAAATACAGATAAACTAAAATCTTTGAAAGCGGAACTATTTAATTTTAATATTTATAGAGAATCAATAAACAAAGCCAAGCAATCAATACATCAAATAAGAAACTCATGTGAGGTTATCTTCGCCGAGACGAAGTGAAATGAAGTAAATAAAATAAATGCCTCTTGTTAAATAGTGAAGTGTGATACTTGAAAGTTCCAACAGCTAATGAAATTTTCTTATATAACACTATAAAAACTATATAAAACTCAAAACATAACCTTCCACTATAAAAAACTATACTAAGAACACTAACCTCTCACTAAGAACACTAACCTCTCCCTAAGAACACTAACCTCTCACTAAGAACACTAACCTCTCACTAAGAACACTAACCTCTCAATAAGAACACTAACCTCTCACTAAGAACACTAACCTCTGACGATATTATCGGAAGCGCCCAGTCTGGTGAATATTCTGTCAACAGGAGAAAATGACATGCTGGCAGCGGGAACACGACACCCCATCTGAGCCAGGATCACCAGGAGACCAACTTGTCTCATCAGAGTGGACTTGCCACCCATGTTCGGGCCCGTAACTACCAGACAGAGTTTCTGAAGTGAATTATTCGTTTGTTATCCTTTTTTAGTAAGACATTCAACTGTGGCGGTTTGCAAGATTTTTCATAGTACATATTATATTGATGTTTTTTAATACTTTCAACACTACTATATAACAAATAATTTGAGGTTTCTATTGTTAAGTTGTTATCATACACACCCAGATCTACGTTACTGTAGCTGTTTAAGTTTTTCTAAAAACTTACAGCTTATCTTGGGTATAGGACCTTGATTTCATTAGCAGATATGGATGACTTGAAGAAACTGGAAGAAGAGCTCGACCTAATCAACGAAAAGTCCTTTCAAGGTAAGAAAACAATCCACGAAGCAAAGATTTTAACAGATATACCCACCAGCAACAACAAAGAACATATTTTCAAGGTTTGTAAAGAACTATACATCATTGCAACCAGAGCTATTGATCTAGCAAAGACCTCACTTGTCCCCCTTCCGGAACAGGACAGCCAAACTCTAGAAAACATAATTAAGAGACAATTGAGTGAAGTCCTACCTAATCTTCTGAAAGAAGCTATTTCAGTGGCTGCCATTTCCCCTGCGGAATCCCTGCAAGCTAACCTCCCAATAGAGAAGCCCCTGCCAGCAAGGCACACGATTACTATAGCCAAGTCACCAGTGAACGAGGATGATACAGAGACTACTATCACTAACCATGAATGGACCGAAGTTTATCGTAAGGACGTGAAGAACTCTCTTAAAGGTGTCCGAGTTAAAGATGAACGGGTAAGTAATGGTACAACAGTGCTGAGTTTTACTACTGAAGATGACATGAAAGAAGCGGAAAGAGCGCTGACACAAAAGTGTAAGTCAGTTAAAGTCAATTCAAAGTCAGTAGAACCAAAGAAGTTAGATCCCAAACTAACAATATCTGACATTCACCTTGATTTTGACACCAAAGAAAAGATCCTTGATGAACTATTGGAAAAGAACACAGGTATGAAGGATGCTAATGTCAAAGTAGTCTACTATGATATCAAAGAAAAATTTGCTGTCATTCAACTGCCCATAGAGGCTAGAGAAGTCATCAGAAAATGTGGTGACTATATATACCTGGGCCTACAAAGACATCGTGTATATGACCGACTCCATGTAGTACAATGTTACCACTGCCAGCAATTTGGCCATATGGCAAAGTCACAGTACTGCAAGCTAAAAGATGCCTCTCCTACATGTTTCTACTGTGCTGGAGCACATACTTCTAAAGACTGTGAAAACAGGATAAAAAATAGGACTGATCGGATAAAGTGTTCTAACTGCTTTAATAGTAAAAGTGCCACAGAGAAAAATGCTGCAAAGACGCATAAAGCTGCTGATAATCTTTGTCCATTCTTTATTAGAGAAAAAGAACGAGTCATGTCTAGAACTGCAGGATGCACGGAGCAGACAAAAAACGCCTATCGCCAAAGGGTCAAGGACCAAAAGATGAGACTAGGAAGAAGTTGAGATGTGGAACTTTCAATGTCCGATCTCTTTTAAACAAGACTGTTGGTGTTTTAGAACATTTGTGGGAAACAGACTGTGACATTTGTTTTATGCAAGAAACATTTCTTCGAGATGGCGACAAAGCAAAACTCACTGAGATAAAAGATAGTGGCTGGAGCATACTTTCTGATCCTAGAAAACACCGCAGTGGAGGTGGTATAGCAATGGTTTACAGAAGTTCGATTGAACTGAAGCCTAATACCAAAGTGACCAAGTTTAAGTCATTTCAAGTGATGGAATCACTTCTGAGTGCTGAATCAGAGTTGCTGAGACTAGTAAACATCTACCGACCCCCCTACACAAAGAAAGCAAGGTACACAGAATGTGACTTCCTAAAGGAGTTTGAAGAATACCTTAAAATACTGTGTGCAAAGCCAGGAAACCCTCTCTTGACTGGGGATTTCAATTTTCATGTTGAAAGACCCGATGAACACTATCCAAAGAAGTTTCTGGACTTGCTAGCTCAGTACAACCTCCGACAACATGTTCCAATAGTCCCAACTCATAATCAGGGCGGTACCCTGGACCTAGTGATCTCTACCCAGTAGATTAGCAATTTTAACATTGTTCAGTCAAGAACTTCCTCAGACCATTTTCTAGTACTCTTCGATGTTGACACTCGACTTAGTAAGAATGATAATGGCAAATTTCTGAGCTACAGAAATTTCAAATCCATAGACATTGAAATTTTTAAGGATGATCTAAGGAATTCCAACCTGTCAACTATTGATCCAATTTTAACTGCTGAAGAAGCGACTTCACTGTATAACTCTGTCCTTACTCAACTCATGGATAAGCACTGTCCTGTTATAAAGAAGAAATTTCGGAAGAAACCCATGCCGTGGCTTGACTTAGACCTTAGTTTGCTACGTCAAAAGAGGAGAGCAGCCGAACGTGCATGGCGCAAAGGAAAGGGTACCAGGAAAGACTACATAGATCTCAGAGATAGATTTGTTAGTTTAGAGTTTGTGAAGAGATGTTCTTATAACAAAGAGTCGCTTCGAGCATCATCAGGAGACTCAAAGGCCCTTTACAAGAAGCTTAACAGACTTCTTGGTAACGAGACACAGGATCTCCCCAAACATCAAGACCCTGTAAAACTGTCAGAGGATTTCAAAGACTTCTTTGCTGAGAAAGTTAACAAAATACGGAAAGACATTGAATTGGATGCATCCAAAAATGTCCCGGAGGAAACACTTGCTCTTTCAAGTGAACCTGATTATGTTTCAACTCTTCACACGTTTTCCCCTATCAGTGCTGAAGACCTCAGAAAACTGGTTAAAATGATGAGTAACAAGTTCTGCTGTCTGGATCCCATTCCTTCATTCCTACTGAAGAGCTGTGTGGATGAGCTAACACCTGTACTCCTGCACATCCTAAACACGTCTACTGAGACAGGATCATTTCCTTCTCAAATGAAGAAAGCGGTTATTAAGCCAACCCTTAAGAAAGAGAACGCTGATGTTGACAGTTTAAGTAACTATAGACCAGTATCGAACCTTTCTGCTATATCCAAGCTCCTGGAAAGAATTGTACTGAACCAGTTGAATGACCATCTGGACACAAACAACCTTCACTGCCCTGTCCAGTCTGGATACCGCCCACAGCACAGCTGTGAGACCCTTCTTGTCAGGATGACTGACGACATAAACAAGGAGATTCAAGCAGGTAACATCGTGGCTGTGGTTCTCCTGGATCTCAGTGCAGCTTTCGACACTATTGATCACGAAATCCTCCTTGAGAAACTTTTCAAGCATTATGGTGTAACTGGGAAAGCCCTTCAATGGATGAGATCATACCTTGAGAGCAGATATTTCTGTGTAAAGATTGGCGATACTATCTCGTCTCTTCTTGAACTCCTCTTTGGAGTCCCTCAAGGATCCCTACTAGGGCCCATCTTGTTTATACTCTACATTAAAGACCTTCAGAATATTGCTGCCAAATTTGGACTAGACATCCAGCTATATGCGGATGACTCTCAGTTATACATATCTTTTCATCCAAGCTTCCCAAGCGAACTTGCAGATGTCAAAGATCGGATAAATAGATGTCTCTCGGAAATCAAGCATTGGATGGTTGGAAACTTTATGAAACTCAATGAGTCAAAGACAGAACTACTTGTCCTAGGCAAATCAAAAGTTCTTAAAGACTGCAAAATGGAGGTGACGATTCAGTTGGAAACACAACTATCACTCCAACTGAATGTAAAGGTGACAGCTGGAAGAGTCTTGGGGTAAAGTTTGATAAGTCTCTTACCATGGAAAGACAAATTAATAGTGTCAAACAGAAATGCAGCTGGACAATGATGAATCTAAGGACGATTGGGCGCTATCTGGATGAAGGAGTGAAACTCATGATGGTAACACAGCTTGTAATATCAAAGCTCGACTACTGTAATTCTCTTTACATGAATTTACCAAAGACACGACTAAACAAGCTAAGATCAACCCTCAATGGTGCCATACGGTTCATCTACAATATCAAAGACCGATCAGAAGACCTACTTCCCTACTACAAGAGAGCACATATCCTTCCTCTTGACCAAAGGATTTTCTTTAAAGTCTGCCTTATAAAGCTGTGCATGGGATTGCACCGGCCTACATACAGAATCTTGTAGTGATTGAAAACCCATTGACAATAGCTAGTACAAGATCAAAAGTAGAAGGAGATTGTTACAGACTAAAGACTCCTAAAACTACAAATAGTAAGATTGATCAACGTCGATTCACCAACTACGCACCAACTGCTTGGAACTCACTTCCCTGGGAGATACGATCACTACGCAACGTAGACAGTTTCAAAGGTACCCTTAAACATTATTTATATGACTGTATGTGATTAGTGCTGTTTTTTCTTTGTTCTCATGATTTGTTGTAGGGTGTATCTTTATTTAGTAGTGCAATGTGTATTAACATATTATTAATCCTTCTTTTGATTCCTATAAGTATATTATGTTACTTTTGAAGAGTTTTCTGGTGGTTTATTGTTAATCGATAGTGTGGTATATATCAATAAATCTTCCTATGATTACTATATGATATATTTAAAGTTTTAATTTTTCCTAAATAGATTTGTTTTTGAGATGATTTAGTTGTTTGTTGCTGGATATTTTCACCTCACTCTTTAGAACCGCTCTGACATGGTTAGTACCTGGCACTTGTGTCAGTTGCTAACCATATGGGCGGTATACAAGCACATTATTACATTTCATTTCATTTCATTTCATACAAACAAGTTAAAACAAATTCTTTAAGCCGTGTATCCTGGGTTTGGACAGGATATGCCCGCTTAAAATACTTTCATCGCGTTACACTACATAATGCTCAATAAATGTAATAGATTTGTAGTGTTGTAATTAGTTTAAAACTAATTAATCGGGTTTGTTGAGATACAAATATATTTTCACCCAGACATAACTAGTAACTACTGAATGTTCCCACCGCGAATGAAATATTATCAGCTAACCGGTTTTACTCGAGTTGCAGGATTAATAT